AGTTTTAAGGCCGATACAGGCCGATATCGATAGGGGGCCGATAATATCGTGCATCCCTAGTTTTTATTTCGCCTTTGTAGGATCCTTTTTAGGATGCAGGGGATAAAAAAGAAAATGAATTTTGTTTTTTATGTAATATCAGTAAAATATATAATAAATGGTTTGTAAAGGAAAGAGAAGGGACAGAAGGACCGAGACAGGAAATGAGTCTATAAGAATAGAAGTGACATAGGAAGGACAGTTATTATCCCTCCTTTTTACCTCGTTGACACTGGATGGAAAGTCTTCCTGTCTGGCGCTTTCCAGATACTGCACTGTCCTGTTTTCTTTCTATTTACCAACAGGATCTATGTGTCATGAAATGGAAACTTCACTCACTAAAAACTATTTCTATTCTCTCCATTAGGGAATAAAGCGAGTGGAACCAGACCTTTACTCTGACTACAAAAACAAGTAAGTGACTAATTTATCCTCTAACAAAATACAGAAACAAATTGGGGCATTGATTTTGTGTCATGGGATTTTAAGGGCAATATATAAAAAACACAAAATAATTAAATTGCAGTTGTGAAGTTTTAGGACCCACATTCTTCATTAAAAAATCATTATAAAATCGGGTAGTTTGCATAAATTTTTTCATGCAACTAGTGTGAGTTACTGCCATATAAAATCTAATAAGGGCATAAAAACAACTATGCCTCTTTAAGGTATTCAAACTAAACGTTATTTAGCCCCCCTTAACACTAGACTAAGAATTTACCAATGCGTCCTGGACTTCAAGGAACATCCAAGCTCTGCTGCATCGGGACAAATCTAGAAAAACTTATAAAGGTGTGCATTTTTAATCTTTATTATATTGTATATTTGGATGTGTGTATATATCATGTAAAACTGTAACTAGAGCGTGTAACAAAAGTAATTTCCCTCTGGGATTATTAAAGTATTTCTGATTCTGATTCTGAGAACTTCATATTGTTATTAGACTCTTATGGCCTAATCTGTAATGGTTTTTGTGTGTATAAACACAAGTAAACTGCATAGAGTGCACATAGATGATCTAATAACCAGGTGTAAATTGATCACATAAGTCAGCTTTTCCAGGTTTCATGACTGTTATTTAATCTGTAAATTGAACCTTTGAAATTGTTTAAACTTTTTTTTTGCTCTTATTTCAAGTACTTTGAGATAATATGTAAAGTGCACTATCATTATTATTATTAGTAGTAGTTCCAAGGGGAACCACTACTATGAGGTCTACAATTAGAGTATGCTCAGAGGAGAGACACTGGTCATGGTGGACCTGCACCTACGATGACAATTTCAGACCCTCCATGATTTATAAGTGGAAGAACTTGCAAAGTAGCAGGGTGTTCTAATACCGTACTTATTTTCCTCACTGTAAAAGTTAGGGCTGGGTAAAATAATCAATGTAATCGATTTTTAATTGATTCCTTTACATTTTTGCAAAATCGATGTCTAGGGAATGAGATAGATTAGTTTTATAGTGACAGGTGTGACATTCACATTCAAATGAGCAGGAAAGATGCACTCAAGATACTTAAGCCAGACAGCTGCAAATATACCCAATAGGTTGACTGAAGACATTAGCAAATGGGGGCTGACCAGAAAACACCCTGTAGTTGTTATAGACAATGCTGCAAATATGGTTTGTGCAGTAAAGATAATGCAGCTCCTGCATTTCTGCTGTGTCACATCTGCTCGCTCGAGTGAGGCTTCACTTTTTCACTTCTCACAAACAAGTTTGGACTTTTGAGACAGTGTTGTTCACATCTCAAGTTTAAACTGTCTGATTTACAAGTTTGCACTTTGTGTTTAATATGACAGGAAAAAATAAAATACACGAGTATTTTGAAACACAGTTTAACCACTTTCGTTGTTGTAAAAACAGATCGAATCGCAATTAATCGATTTAGAACTCTAGGAATCAAAATCAAATCGATTCAGGACTTTGGCAAAAATACCCAGCCCCAGTAAAAGTTGCTTTCACAGATTGATGCTTTTAGGTGGGAGCCACAACTGACGTATGCCTTTGCAATCTTTCTTTAACGCTCAGATTTTTTGGGAACCAGACAGTGGAGCGTTTGGATTTGTGTTCCATGTTAAAAAAGAAGCAGCCAGACGGATATTACCACACTGACACTTCACTACAGCTGGGTAAGTTCCCACATGTACACAGTCTGAGTCATGTCATTTAAAGGCCCACCAGAGGGCGCTGCCGCCTAGCATAAGGGATTCTGAGTTTCTCTGTCCATGTTGGTTTCCATATGAAAGGGAAGCGTTTGCTGTCAGCAGTCTGTGTCCAGTTATAATTGCTTTAATCTGTTTCCTCATGATTGAGGCTGAGGGGCACTCTTCATGTGTGTGTTTCTTATTCGTTATAGGCTTGGACTCATATATGCTGTGAAGTGTTGGTAAACCACAGGGGATTTTGTTTCTCACCCTGACAAGGTGCTGGATTGATTGGGAGATTTTTTTTTTTTTACACCTTTTCAGCTCACATTGGCATCAAAGGTTCAACAAGAGAGAAACTGGCATAATGGAGCACCATGGGGCTACTGTGGAGCTTATTTCCATTTCAGACTCTACATCCTAGCTGCTCATTACCACACAGGCAGTTCTGTATAGTAAACTGGCCATTTTGAATAGAAGTGCCTGGCTAATCAAAGTAGTTGAGAAGCTGCGTGAGATGTAGTGGTGGTGTTTGGGGAAATAAAGGAGTTTGAAGCTTCATCTTCTGTTTATGTAAATTATTAGCATCATGTTTTGATGTATTAATGATACTCTGATGTTTCATTGGACAGCTTTATAACAACTCTTAGATGATTGCATAATGAGTACAAAAAAGCATTTGCCCATCCATATGTGTTCCAGTAAGTAGCTCCTAAAGTTTAATCAGGTTCATATTTCTTAAGCATGTAACCGTATGAGGGATTGCCTTCGAGTCAATGAGTCGATGCAATCAACTGGTTTTCCTTAGATAGAAAACTCTGAATCAATTTGACTTTATGATCTGGTTATATTGTGTCTGTAAAGTGCCTTGGGATGACATACGTTATGATTTGGTGCTATATAAATAATTGAATTTAATTATGCAGTTTAACAGAGGGATTTCTTCTCTTTAATTGTGTCTCATTAAAACTCTTATTAAAAAGCTCAAAAAAAGGAAAATCAGGTTTTATTTTTTTTATTTACAGCAGAAAAGTGTATTTGAAGATGTACTTCTGTCGGCGTTGGTAGAAAAAATGAAAATGATCCAAATCTTTGAATATAGAAATATCTTCCGTCTAAAATGATATCAGCGCTGACGTTGGAAGCAATAAAACTCATTGGATAAAAACTAGCAGATCATCATTGACAGGGAAATGGGATCTCTGCCTCTCTTCACTCTTCCTCCAAAGTCTGAGAGCCTGATTTTTTACCGGTAATTGAAATGTGAAAGTTATTTACATCTGAAAAGAGAACTTTAAACCATTGTGCTCCAATCCTGTCCTCTTTATTCTCTGTACCCTAGTTTTTCTGTCCTCTCTGATTCAGGAGTTGCTCAATACGAGCGGTGCGATGGTGGTCCGGCCTGTGATTGATACCTTTGTGTGTTTTGGCTCTTGAGGAACTGAGTCCAGCTGCTTTTCTTGTAAATCTGTGTTTTATTGCCCAAGCCTCTCATGGCCCCAGTTTTCCTTCTTGATAGCACGCTTTTTCTTTTACTTAACTTCCCATTTAGGAGTTTGGACTTTCTTTAAACCACATTTTTGTTTCTTTAAACAATGATTTTTCTCAGATTATCCCTCCTGGTAAAGGATTTGGATGAAGGTCTTTCTTCTGTCCTTGTCACCTTCTTTTTCTTGTGCCCTTCCTTCCCTTCTGTGACTCCGTCCTTCTTTGTGCCCTCCCTCTCCTCCTTCATTGTGTCCAATCTTCCTTCCCTCCATGTTTCCTTCTTTTCTTCCATCCAGTTTATTTCTTTACTGCTACTGTAAAGTCATCCTTCTATATGAACCTCTGCCTTTAATTCATAATGAATATAATTTTTAAAATCCTAAATCATGGCGAGCTCAAGGAAAAGTTAGAAATGTTTACCTCAAAACGTGGAGGTAAGCGACCAATTCTCTCAAACACTGAAAAGAATTTATGATAAAAAAATAGTCCTCAGACTTTTTAATTAAGTTTCACTTTAATATCTGAATTACTAAAAACATTTTTTATGATGTTTTATTTGAATAAAATACGCATTCATATCCAGGACTATAGTTACAGATCATTTACTAGCATCCTGAAGCTACATTTTTACAACGGTTGTTCTCTTCTGTCTGAATATGCTGTTGTAGTATTAAGTAACAAAGCGATGTCCCTCCCCCACCTGTTTCTGCCCACTGCCAATGTTTTAACCCTTTCCTATGTAGAATAAACGTGACTATGAAAATATTTCTTGCAGGAAAACATGCAGATAACTCCAGTGTGGAAACTAAATGAGCCCCATCCATCTCTCTTATTACTGTAAAACAAAGCTGGAAGGTAATATCCATTATGCAGCCAGCTGCAGCCTCTTCCTCAGCAGTTAGCCTGACTCATTAGTCAGTTAAGTGTTTCTCCATAAAGAGCTGAACAGAAAAACGCATACATGTTCTTCAGAATAAGCAATTAGAAATTATTGGTAAATTATTTCTGAAGCAGCTTGAATAATTTTTGCTTTTATGTTTTTTTTAAATATTTTTTACAATTTATTTTAGTATTTTGCTATTAATACAATGCTACTCTACAAGATGTCATGCTGTGAGGAAAACTTCATACCTAGAGGAGGTTATGGCTTATTACTTTCTCATGTATGTCTCATGAGCCATCACACTTAGTACATCACAAGTGGGGTATTTAATTTATAGCTGATATATTTTTTAAGTTATCATAGATAATCCGTATGGATTTCTTCTCTGCACATTATATCTTGAAGAGATGTGATAGAATATGAACAAATATGTTTGAAAATTACTCACTTTTGTGAGGTGGTAATATGTAGTTTGTGACAAATGTTGATCTCAGTGTGATGAAAACATTCAACTGTCTGCAATCTGAGCATGAAACTCAAAGAAATGAAACCTTAAATTACAAAAAAAACAACAACAGCTGTCATGTTAATGAGAAAAGAAAGTGTGGGAAATCTAAACTGTCGTTTTCATTAGTGTAAACAGGATCAAAGTGTTATTAACGCTGACTATCACATTCTGATAGAGGTTCAAATGGTTTGACGGGGTCTTCCCCATTGCCACTGCTATGCAGACTAATCGCTGTGGGTGTGGGAGTGCATGAGTGACAGAGAGCTGTGAGATTCTTTGGAAGTGGGCTGTCACCGGGGTTAGTGGATCAGTGGGTTTCGTGAGAGCGTGGCAGTGTGTGTGCGTGGGGCAGAGGGATGTTTACCTCAGACATCACTTTGTCAACAATAAACAAGACATGCATATTTAAAGATGAACATTATGTCAAATGGGGGAGTTTTAGCGCAGATTATGATGGACTGGAGTTTTTATAGATGGAGTACATCCACTACTAACAAGTTAGTGGCTGCAGGAGTTTGTCCTGCAACCAAAGGGTTGTTGGTTCAGGCTTGGGGTTCAGTACCGTTGTGTCCTTGGGTGGAATATTTCTCACCATTTCCTACTGATGGTGGTCAGAGGGTCCAGTGGTGCCTGGGTTAGTGAGCACCAGCGCAACTGGGGCTAGCATGTAGCTTGCCAATATCATGAATGAATGAATGTATGAATGACTAAATGTAGTGTAAGGCGTTTTTGTCAATTCTTCTGACTTGATAAAGCGCTATATAAGTACAGGCCATTTATCATTTAATAAGTTTTACAGTGTGTTCGTAGAAAGGATGAAAGGTTTTTAGATTTTTCTTATTCATATACAGTTTAAATATTTTTTTTTATTTTTTTTATTTTTATTTTTTTTATTCCAGCATGTTTCCAGAAATGATTGAATAAATCTAAAATTTATTTTTAAATGAATAAAAAACAGCTACCAGAGGTTTTTTCACATTAATGGATTAGAGAAGGAGTAACAACATAGAAAAATATTTTCTATCACACACTTAATATATATACTCAACAAAATCCTATTCCCAATTACTGACAAAAGTAATTTAAGGGAGTTTATAACACATCTGAATGATATTCAGATATGTAGACTCATTTAGTGAATTCAACTCCAATACAGACAATTCATTCTGATATATTTGAGATAGGAGTTTCATAAACCTTCCAGCTTCTGAACCACAAAATGCTGCCAGAGCTGATTTTTTCCAAACTTATTGGTTTGTATAAAAAAAATGTTATAAGATCAATTAACCAGGAGTGTAATACCATTAAAACATAATCAATAATCAAAGTAGTTAGTTTGGTCCATGTTTTTAGTGATGTTATTTTATCTTTCAGACCCTATTGGATCAGGTCACTGACTTGCAGTAATCCCTCATCATGATGAAGTAATTGGAAACAGAGATGAAACACTCTGCATCAGCAGAAGTTTATAAAATTATAGAAAATATGAAATAAGTCAGCACCATCCCCGCATTAAAAAAAGCACTTGATTTTATATCAGTTTATCTGAATTTAAATACTAATGTGTATCTTATAAGCCTCCACAAGTTATGTGTTGCTACTAATGCCCGAATCTCACACTAGAGATATTCACCTCTTCATTTAACCCATCCCCTTAGGGAGCAGTGGGATGTAATTGTGCGGTGCCCGGAGAGCACAGTGGGGTTAAGGATCTTGCTCAGAGACCCAGAGTGGCAGTCTGTGGGAGTGGGGCTCGAACTCAGAACCTCTGCAACCTAAACAAATGCCCTAACCACACTTCCCCTTTTGTTGACTACAAAAATAACTCTATAAAACCTATTGAAGAACAATAGACTTTACCCAGGAGGTGATTAATAACAAGCAGGGAGAACATTTATTTTAAAAAGCAGGCACTGTTTGACTTAAATGTTGTTTTTTTTATCTGACTTGTTTTTTTAACCCCAACTTCCTTTTGTTGATTTATTATTTCTCTTCCTTGAAGCAGTTTACTGAGGATTTTTATGCCTCAAGCCATAGTTGCTTCCTCTTGTCTGCTCTCCTTACTATCAAGAGACAATTTACCCAGCTACCAATCAAAGTAGACTTTTCTTGAGCTACACAACTTTTTGTGATCATTAAATGCATGTTAGCATAGCTTCATAATATTTAGTTATCATTGTGCTATAAATAAAATCTACAGTTTGCGTTGCAATTGTAAAATACATGCCAACAATAGAAGTGTTTGATGCTAATTCAAAAAGGCATGAAACAAAAAACTAAGGCCTTTAAAGATAGCAACAGTACCCTATTTTACATTGTGTTTAATTACAATCAAACGAATAAAACAGCTAATCTAATGAACCAAGGAGATTAAGATTCTTTAGCCAGTATTGATTTGAACAATCCTGCTTTTAAAGATATATTTTTTTTAATTCTCCAGTTATTTAAGGGGATTTGTTGTAAAAATGCAAAAACTCTTTATTAAACCACATGGGATAACCATTAAAAAAATCCTGCTCTCTTGCCCATTTAATGACGTCCATAATGTTTTCTATTAGTGTTGCACCAGTATCGGGCGAGGCCCTGATCCAGCACTAAAATGGTGGTATCAGTATCAGCATGTAACAACAAATAAGGCACCGATACCATTTTGTGAGCCAAAAATGTATTCTACTTTTGTCACCCATTCCAGGTAAGCAATAAAAAGTTCTACTGGATTCACTTTGTATTAGTCTTTTTCCTGCTTCACAAAGGGCAGCAGCTTGACAAAGCCATGATGGCAATTATTTTACATCCAAGTAGTATGCAGTTCTTCATATATACACACATACATTAATTTCATATAGATGTATCGGCCGATACTGCACAGCCTGGTATGGGGTATCGGTGCCATAAAATGGCATCGATGCAACCCTGTTTTCTATGCCACCCCTAATCAGAGCCACGGAGAGCAACTTCAAAGAGACTCGGGAGCTAAAGGTTGCAGACCCCTGATCTGTGTGGAATCTGAAGCTTTTCCTAAGAAAGGCCAAGGGAAATAATTTTCTCAGCAGGTGCTGGGTATACATATATTCAGGTTGGGACAGACCCTAAATATCTTGCCTGTAACAACCCAAAAGCTGATTCTTTTAGGGTTATGGAGTCATGACCATTGCTTTTCTCTGGTGTTTATCCCAGACAACCACCAGAGAAACAATTATTTTTATTCGAAAAAAGGATTTTATTTATTTTGTGTTACAACATTATATATTCATGGGGAATAGTATCAGTGAGCAGGACAACAAGTGCGTAATTACACATATGTCAATATACTGGTTCCTATGTCATTTATTAGGAATCCATATTTATACGCACCTCTAAAGACCTTTCTGTTTTGGTCCGTTTTGGCTCCACCCACTGAACAAAACTGTATTTTTTTTGGTTTAAAGGAAGACTTAATTTCCCATGAGGGTAAAGACCATAGGTGGTTAGAATCCTGATCTACCAGTTGCCTGCAGTTGGATTGATCTACATTTCTTTTTCTAGTTGCTGTGTGAAAGATGAATAGTGATAAGAAAAAAAAACTTATTGTGGCAAAACATCGTCATATGACAATGTTGACAATAAGAAACCTTTAACTCTGGTTTTGCATCGTATTTGCTTGGTGATATTCATACAGACTCCCTCGGGCCTTGACAGAGGTATCATTCAACTAGTTGTAAGTCGACATATAATGACAAAAGCTATAAAATGATTTCATGAATTTTGAAGTTATTAGTGTTGTTTTATTTTGCGTTATATTATTTATAAGTTAGAGATGCAGACATGGAAAATATCTTAAATCAGACAGGAAATTAGAGCATCAACTTGTCCAGGAAAGGCACTTCCATAACCTAATCCTGCCGATCTTATCATGTTCCTGTGCTCCACCCAAAGAGTCAAAACTAGGATTGCTCATTTCCAAAAGACTCTCTTTTGGTCCAAAGCAGCATGGGAACCAAATCGAGAAAGAAAGCTTTCAGCATTCTGATAAGTCCTCTGGTTTAAAACAGGCCAGCATCCACACTTGGGCTTTAAATATCCACCGTCTGAGGCCAAAACACATGATGAGCAGTATGTGGCATCACTCTCTCCTTGGGAGGGCCTTTATTCAGCCAACACTCTGCAGTTTCATGGCTCACACAAAATAATCACGAGGCGAGAATTAAAAAAAAAGTGATGCCTCATCCACAGTTAGAATAATTTATCCCTTGGAATTGCTCATAATCTAATTAGTTTGAAAGCAACGCCCCAATCATCAATATTCTTTACACCAAAATTGGTTTAAATAGATTTGGTATTCTATATGTCCTTTAAGTCTAAGTGTATTCCAATAAGTTGAAAATTAAAGTAGAAATGCTTCTCTTAAAGCAGAAGTTTCAGTCTGGCATAAAACTAATAACA